CCCCTAGAAATGTCGCCGAAGCGATTGCTACCTTGATGAATACTCCCAYGKGCGAAAACAATAGAATTCACCATGACAAATTTCAAAACCTACCGATTTGAAGGCCAGAGGGAGCCGAAGAGAAACCTCRTGGTCGATTCAACTCATTACGTATAATGTCAATCTAGTACCCAGAACCACTGTCCCTCTTACTCGCAGGCTCACAGGCTCGACAGTGGCGCTGGGTACGAGATTGGTATAATGTTGAAGAACGCATGCGCAGACTGTCATTGGAAGGGGTGACCTACGTAGCACGCAGTTGATGTAATGYATTCATAAAATGYWTTGTATTCCATTGTTTCTCGTTCTATTGTATTATGTGTTTTGTATTATATCTTTATGAATATATTACATCAACTGAGTGCTACGTAGATTCTCCCATCATTGGAACATCGCAACAACGTTCGTCGAGCATCATACTATCGTGCGACACAGGGAACCCGCCGGCAATGGTGACAACAGGGCGAGAATAGTGTGGAGAGGAGGTTGGGCAGTGAATAAGTGTGAGGACAGTCTTATGACAGTTCTTGTGATTTGTCAATTTTAGGCAAATTGCACCAAAAGCACGAAATTGCATAGTACGTGGTTAAAGGCATGATATAGAAATTGAGCATTATCAAGGATAAAAACCCTATTCTTGGCGTGCACGTGACCTCACAGCAATTTGCATATTTGGATTTTCACCATGTTGGAGTCTCTGGATTAGTATGCAAATGGCTGCCAGGTCTTACTTATTGTGCATTATTTTTATAGTTTTTACAATGTGTGAGCCAAATTCTGACGAAAATCAATACCTTTCAATACCTGTACTGTCTGAGTACACAAAATCACGTCAAACAGCGCTATTTAGACAAAATTTCGCTCGTTGGTGTTGACCCGGCAAGTATACCCTTCGATGAGTTTGACCCAGTGTTTACCACCTATTGAAGCTGCAGACTTGGTTTCATACCTAGTTTTGGAAACGAGTTATTACACTAAACAACAGTTTAAATCCAATTAGAGTTTAGAGGCATATAATCAATTGATATCTGGTTTTATAACCTCTGTGCAAGGGAAGCTGGTTGCCGGAAAGTCTGTTGTAGTATCCAAATTTCGCCATTCTCAACGAATGAATGATCCTCTCATTCAAATCTGGATTATTTGTGAAACTGATGGCTCGATTGTGTCTGCACATTGTTTAGGATGCAAAGCGGGCCTTGCCGAAWCATGCKYGCATGTGGCCAGTGTAATGTTCTACATTGAAGMGTGGAATCGCTTGAAAGAAACGMAGAGTTGTACACAAACGAAGTGCAAATGGCTACTCCCAGGCTACGTAAAGGAAGTTCYTTATTCGAGAATWAAGGATATCGATCTATCTTCGGCCAAAAAACTSAAGGACAATTTGGACAACGCGATAGACTCTGTGAACAAAACGGCTCAGGATGTGGCAATGGCGACATGTAAAAGGTCATCGATCAAAGCTTTGCCGCCAACTGAAAAAGAAATGGACAGTTTACTCGATAAACTTAGTAAATGTAGAACAAAAGCAGTAGCTTTATCAGTTAATAAATTATACTCCAAGCACTTTATATCTGAGAGCAGAAATGTTCCCGCTGTCACTGATCTGTTCAAGAAAGAGTATCTTGACCTTACATTTCCGGAATTACTACAACGATGCCTCGACATTAAACTTTCTGTATCAGATAAAGAAATTCACCAAGTTGAAAGAGATTCAAGAGAACAAAGCAAGAGCTCGGGATTTTTCCGACACAGAGCTGGTCGAATTGGTGCCTCTGTAAGTGGGTCTGTATGTCACAGCAACATCACACAGCCTTCACATTCTTTAATTAAATCCATCGGCTATCCAAATCTCTACAAGCTTAACACAAAAGCAATCAAGCATGGTATCAAGTATGAGCCGTATGCGATTAATGCATATGAAATTGCAATGAAACGCATTCACAAGAATTTTGAGATTGTAAAATGTGGACTTTTCATTAATGAGTTTCCCTTCCTACATGCTACCCCAGACTTCCTTACATATTGTGACTGTTGTGGCTTGGGCTGTGGGGAGGTGAAATGCCCTTTAAGTCTACGACATTGCGACTTTAAAAACTATGCAGCTGATAAAGGCACATGCATTGAAGAAAGAGAAGGGAAATGTTGTCTAAGAAAAGGTCACAACTACTACAGCAACAGCTATTCAACAGGTCATTTTGTGATTTTGTTCTTTGTGGCATAGACAGTGATGAGAATGTTCATATTGTAACTGACCGTATTTTGCCTGATAAACAACACATGGATACTGCAATAAGTAGGAGACATTGCATTTTGGAGACATTGCATTTTACCAGAGATACTTGGCAGATGGTATACAAGAAAGCTCCCAGCTGAAATACCAGACAATAAAGATCGTATATGTTTTTGCAGAAATGAGCTAACTGGGCCAACCATTGCATGTGATAATGTCGAGTGCCCTTACAAAGAGTTTCATGTGTCATGCTTGGCTCTGGAAAACCATACTATACACAAAAATTCATGGTATTGTCCTCATTGTAGCAGGCTGCCTCAGTTTAAGAAAGATAAGTCATCTCGTTCACACAAAGAGCAACAAACTGTTGTTATTCAGGAAGTATTGAACAGTGACTCAATCTGTGTATGTCAATCTAAAGCTACCACTAGTGATAAACTGATTGAATGTCACAATGCTAAGTGCACTAGTGGAAAATATTTCCATCTTACCTGCCTTGGGTATAAACGTATGCCAAAAAATGCAAAGAGCACTTGGCAGTGCCACCTGTGCAAAGGTGCTAAAGGGTACGCACAGTCCAAAGGCGAACCTAACACATGTACTTCTTATGATGCAGCAGTGACAATGAAGGTGCAACAAATGTAGTTAATAAACTGCCTGATACGAAACAGCCTACCCCTTGTAATTCTTCAAGTTATTCAATTTGTCTTTCAAGTGACGGCAGCAGTGATGAGGAAGTTGTTTGCATGCAAGAAACCACTGGATTAACAAACAAAACTGGATTACTTGGTAATCTCACTAAAAATGACTTGGAAACTATACTCGATCCTAATGGTTGGCATGATTGCAGTATTATACAACAATCACAGGTTTTATTGCAGAAAGTAAATCCAATAATTGATGGTTTCCAGCGAACGACCCTAGGCCCCGTCAGGAATTTCAATTTTCAAGTGGAGAATTTGTCCAGATACTTCACACTGGAAGTGCCCATTGGGTGACCATTAGCTCTATTGGATGTCAGCCTGGAATTGTACATTTGTATGATAGTCTCTACCATGATGTAATTCTTGAAGAGGTTGTGGAACAGACACAAGACATACTTGGTGGACGCCTTGAGAAACTAAGTCATGTTCCAACACAACAACAAAACAATAGCAGCGACTGTGGTGTGTTTGCGATTGCCATAGCAACATGTCTCGTTCTAGGAATTTCTCCAACCCATGTTACMTTTGACATTCCAAGCATGAGAGCACATTTAGCACACTGCTTAAAAGAGGGMAAAATTGAAATGTTTCCTCATTTCTAATATYAGAGTTAAYAAGCAATAACACACRAACAGAATARCTAACTTTCCCTTGACTTGATCTACACAAAGGACTGAAAATGMGGTGCTTTGCATAATGTGCAATGAAATGTGAAAACTTATTGCAATTGACTGAGCATTATGCATGGCRCCTCATTTTGGTGTCATTGTTTATGATATTCAATTYGCAAGTCAGCGAGTCAATTTTCACATATATGACTGTCTTTGAAATTTTCATTTGAAGTTTYTCTTCAGATATTAACCAATGTTCCAAGGCTAAAAGCTAGCATTCCTAAAATTAGGAAAATATTCACAAAACAAAACGAAGAAAGACATTTTATATATAAGTGTTATACAGAGTATTCCATATGTCATTCAGTATTGTTTTCCTGACCTCTAATAGCACGCATTTTACTAAATTTATAAAGTGTCAACATTTCAACCAATTCATTRTATTTTAGGTCATAGCCCAGCCATATTAAACATTCATATCTGAGCAATATCATTTCATACTTGTACATTCAACTTGCTCTCGTAATAAAACAACTAATAATACATGTAGCAGTGTTAGACTACATTATTGCAACCTTGTCATTGTTGAGTTTTTTTGTTTTTGTTTTTGAATTTACTAAGCTTTACAGTGTAATGTATTGCAACTTGAAACTCTCAAACACATAATGATTGTTCCATGATCATTAAGTTTAGGTCAGCTATTAAAGGACTATTTTAAGTTTGAATAAACATTAAAACAAGAATCCAAAAATAAGCAAAAATAGAAAAGATTTGCCTGTGCAGGAAACAAGTAATAATCACCACTACTAAAATGATTGAACTACGTTACAAACAAATGACAACATAAATAGTAGTTGTGAGAATTCTTGGCATTCACYTGACTTCTAAATCAACATATGTAGCYTCGTAGCTAAGACAGGAGAGTGCTAGTCAAATGACCCATTTTTTCAGATATGCAATTCTCACAAYCACTCAGGTTGTTCATTATTAATATSAAACAAAAGTAATCATCAATTATTAATTTTAGCAGCAGTGGYATTCATGATGCTTACATGCCCTACAGAACTTTGCTTGCAGTGCAGTTACATGCAAGAAGTAAAAACCYTTCATGCGCTTGAAGTTTAAACTGATTGTCATAACAAAATCCATACTCAGAACGAGCTGTGCTCTTGATCATTCAAGAGTGTTGGCAATATARTAATAGAAATACACATATTTACCTGAAAGTGGCTATGAGGTAAGTAAAAAAAKYCTCWGGTAGAAATGTGACATCAATGTACRTATATATTAGTAATATATCAATCAAAAGGGATAATTGGGGGACAGCAATTAACTAGAGCTGAGCTAACTCTTACAATGCGGTCAATTATTGGGATTTGTGCCTCAGGTGGTCCATCACGATTACATACCAAGAAGTCAGGTATGTAACAGACCGATAACTCTCTCGACATGTATTCGCACATTGGCTATCCCTCTTGTTCTCTCCACATCAACCGGGTCCAATTGCGACTTTCCTTTCGTAAAGGCAGGGATTATTAACTTGGCTTGCTGAAGACCTCTGTCAGCCATAACCATGTCTCCTGGCAGTAAATGAGACAAGAAACCACAGCTTTCAGTCAAGTACTTATCTGAKGTCCTGCCTCCCCAAGCTTCAGAAACAAAGCTAATGTGACCTTGTGGAGTAATGCCAATCAAGATTTTAATTGTATTGTGATGTTTATAGTTGGAAAATGTTTGCGCCCTGGCTAAAAGATTTGAGGGCTTCTCTATAAAGATTTCAAAGCAATYAATGACAATTGTAACTTGGTTACCAAAGGAATACTGAAAACAAATGGGCATTGTTTCCCACAGTTCMTCTCTAGTTGGCCAATAAATCAAAGGTTCTAATCTTATGTCCATAACGACAAGCCAGTGCAAAAAAATCCTAGATACAGTTGATCTCGACACAATAAATCGATACGCTAAATCCTGAAATGGCATGTTCAGTCTAAGTTTCATCATGACCTTTACAAACTCTTGAAAACGGCTAAGCGATTGACATGTGCGAGTGACGTGCGACTTGACGTGTTCCAGCACTGTCAAGAGTACTTCGTATGAAGGCAAACCAGTACAAAACCTTACTTTTTCGTCGTTTTTGAAGAAATCTTCTCCTGGTGCTTGGTAGCCATTATGTGCAAAGACATAATCAAATTCTTCAGTTTGAGTTTTGGTGTCACAAGTAGTTGGCATTTCACAAGCATGTGTGAAATCCATGTTTCTCAAGTAGTCACCGTCATTCAGCTTTAGTCGCTTGGTTTCAATCTCCCGTTCGAGATGTTCTTTAAGCATTCTTTCTTCTTCTCCCTTAGTACTCTATCTTGTTCTTCTTTTTCCCGCAATAATCTTTCATGTTCTTCTTTTTCTCGCGCCTCTTGTAGAAGCTGTTCGCGAATTTGACCACGAACCTTGACTCTGACTGCTTTCTCCTTGACAGTATTGGGGTTACGGCATGTATAATTCTTTTTCCCAAGAWGTTGAGTGGGTATCCAGTCTTCGTGGAATTTGTCCCAAGCCATAGCCGGCCTACSAGAAACAAAATGTTTCCCGCAAACTCGSTCCGTGGTCAWTACATCTTTATAGTGAATGTCGTYGCGACTTATCGCAGAAATCCATCGATCTCTCCTTTCTTGAGTCAGTTTTTCATAACTTTCTCCCTGATTCTCAATGACAGAAGGTATACRAAACATTCCATATCCCTCTTTGTTTTTAGTTTTGACTCCACAACCAACAACGATACAGTGAACCATGACTTTCTGATCTTTTGTCGTAATCTGATACTGTTTGTTTACATGTGGAAGGACTCCAATATGGTGGATAGCAACGGTTGTCATGGATTGAAGTCACGTGGGTGCACGCCAAGAATTACAAAATGCCTTCAGCTGAAACATTTTTAAATATGTAAAAGTTCGACTACATAACCATCAACAAGAGATTCAGGAACTCGGTTTTACAAACCAAATGCTATCTGGGCGCCGACTGCAATAGGCCTTATCACGGTTTTCGACGCCATTTTGTTCAATAGGCATGAAGTTCGGAGGCGTGGCTACAAAGCCCCATACATTCTTTGTAATTTTGACGGAGGATTCACGAGGCGGTGTTATAATTTCCTTGTTTTYTCACTTAAATCTTAACCGTTGGACCTGAGATTTTTAGCCAATTTAGGTAAGTGAATTGTCACGTTTAATACCAAATTTGAACCGGTTGAGAACAATATTACCCCCGATTTTATGTGAATTTCTGAAGCTGACGTATGCAAATTTACCACGTGGCGATGCGTGCAAATCAAAACAAACACTACGAGATGTATCCAACCAGGATTTGGGCAAAWTCCACATGAAAGATAATTACAATYGAGTGAAGTGTTTTAAGAGATCTCTTTTTTATTTCAGGCATTTCAATKTCGGCAGTTTATAAGCCCAAACAAGCTCACTGCTGCGTTCGTGGCTGCAATAATGACGATCGATATCCAGAAAAATCTGTAATTCGATCCCAATTTAGGTAAATGAATTGTCACGTTTATTACCAAATTTGAACCGGTTGAGAACAATATTACCCCCGATTTAATGTGAATTTCTGAAGCTGACGTATGCAAATGTACCACGTGGCGATGCGTGCAAATCATTTGGGCAAATTCCACATGAAAGATAATTACAATTGACTGATAAGTACAATTGAAGTGTATTGTCACGTTTATTTTCAAACTTTAGCCGACTGAGAACGATATTTAGTTCCCCCGATTTTTGTGAATTTCTCGATTGACATCGCAACATTGAACGCATCATATTGGCAACACAGAATATTTTGGACAACGCTTTTCGAACTGTTTTTAATCTTGATTTCGATTCTAGATGAAATGAAGGCCTTTGTAAAGCCTATACATGTACAATATAAGAAAACACCGTAAAGAAATGATTAATTTACAGTATTTGATATAGTATTTTATTTTATTCTTGTGTTTTTTACTTAGTTTGTAAGGATGAATGCTTATGAGGATTTTCTTGATTTAAGTATTGGGACTTTAAGGGACTATTTAAACTTAAGAGGTCTTCAAGTGACAGGTCGAAAAGTGGAATTAGTTGCTAGAGCTTTTTCAGCATGTGAGATGAATTTGCCAATCAAGTTAACTCATGAGCAACACAACAACAAGTTAAAGGCAGAGTACAATCCCTTACAATAAATTTGTCAGTTGCTCTGCCACCATAGCATGGTGATACATAAGATGGGGCACCATTTGGTGTTATAGCAACCAGGAACTTTGTTGTACAATGATGCTTGTACTTCGACCAAAGAGCTGCCTGGATGTCTAAAGCACTTGGGGTTTCAGAAAAAACTTCTGAGCAATCAATGACACAACGTACATTAGGGTAAAGCCTTCTAAAAGAGTCTGGTAATTCAAGCATTACCTGGCCTTTACTTGGCCACATAATCAACCAGTCTAACTCCTTTGCTAAAAATCTCAACCACGTCGAGACTGCTTCTGATATAAGTGACTGGGAAACTTTAAACCTAAATGCAAGATTATCTTCTAGAAGGCCAAGTCTCAATTTCCTAAGTGTCATTAGAAATTCCTGTTCAAGGGTAAGCTTTCTAGGTGGGCCCTCTTTTCACAGAGGGTGGTTCAATACCCTTATCCTTAAAGGCTTTGAATAGTGCAGATAAACGTTCTGTACTACTCTGTTTGAGAGATTCTTTAAAAACTTGTGTAATCCATATTTTTTGCTTTTAGCCTAAGATAATTGAGCAGATATTGGAAAATCTCTCCATTAGGTAGTCCTGTATATATACCTTAACCATTCCCTCCCTTGATACTTCCTCAAAAACAAGATCTGGCCTGGTAACTTGCTCCCAATCTGAATCATCTGACTGTGAAGTATCAGGTTCATTATTGCAATCAATATCCATGTTATTATGATCATCTTTGTTATCATTGTTATCATAATCATCATTGTTATCATCATTACAATCATCATCATTGTTATCATCATTAATTGAATTGTTTTAACTTAAAAGTAGTGACTTTGCTGTGTAAACTTTCTGTAAAAGCCGCCTTTTCTTTTGAGACTTGTCAAAGGTATTTTGTAACACAAAAATAAATTTTGTGGGATTGGGATCTATTTTTGTAGGCTCGCCATCAATGAAATGATTTGCACAGACAAACGTTCCATTGCCTGGTGAGAAAAGTCCGCTTAATCCTGGAGAAATTGCTTCAATCCATATTTGGCGTTTGTCCTTAGCGTTTGTAAAGTTAAAAAAGCGCATAACCTTCACATGGGATCGAATTACAGATTTTTCTGGATATCGATCGTCATTATTGCAGCCACGAACGCAGCAGTGAGCTTGTTTGGGCTTATAAACTGCCGACATTGAAATGCCTGAAATAAAAAAGAGATCTCTTAAAACACTTCACTCAATTGTAATTATCTTTCATGTGGAATTTGCCCAAATCCTGGTTGGATACATCTCGTAGTGTTTGTTTTGATTTGCACGCATCGCCACGTGGTAAATTTGCATACGTCAGCTTCAGAAATTCACATAAAATCGGGGGTAATATTGTTCTCAACCGGTTCAAATTTGGTATTAAAC